TCTCGTTCGCGTTTTTGTTTAGCAAACCCCGTCCTCGTTCCGCGTGCAAGGAGCCAAGGACGAGCGTGTATTCATAATTAAGTGTAAAACGAGTTTAGAATCGCGGTTGCTTTATCGGGACGCTTTATCGAGATGCTTATGAATTACAGAGGATAAAGCCTAATTTGCAATGTGCTCTTTTGTTTCCTGTTTCTTGCTTTTCACTTTGGGTCAACGTGATGCTTAACAAACGGTTTGAAGCATTTTTTGATTAATCAATTAGAAAAATTCTTTCATCTGATTAATAAAGCAAGCGCTTTAAAACATTCTTAGTGAGACTTTGATTGCACCCTTTGCCTCTTACCTTTTTGGGTAGCGACCATTGTTATAAATGCTTTGAAACATTCTTTGATTAGTCTCAATTCGTAAAATTCTTTTTTCTGATTAGCAGGGTTGGCAAACGTTACTTTTCAGTTACTTTGTCGTTACTTTTTATAGTAAACAATTTGATGACGATGTTGCAATTTTTTATGATGGTAACGCTAACTAACTAAACGCTAAGGTTGTACTAAGATTAGAAAAGTCACTTTGAAAAATAACTTGCCACTATTACGCGTTACACCGAAAAAGTTATAAGTATAACGTGTAACGCGTAATGTTACGCGTTACTAAAAAGTAACAAGCATACAAATTAGGAGTTATTTTTTTCAGTAACGAATGACTTTTTCAATCCATTACAAGTAACGACTGACTTTTCTAACTCTGATGTTAGCATTGCCATCATAAAAAATTCACAATGTCATTACCAAATCGTTATAACAAGGTAACGATCGACAAAGTAACAGCGTTACAAGTAACGCGTTACTTGCCAACCCTGCTGATTAGTCGATCAAATGCTTCAAAGCATTTGTAATGAAACTTTGACCGCACCATTCGCCTCTTTGTTGGTTAGGTTAGGTATTCTATTTTTTCGTTTCTAGAACTTCGGAACCTAATCAGAATAAATGATTGGCCAATTCAACATCGAACGACTATAAATCATTTCTAGCCGGAAAGAGATAAGAAACTAGTAATAATCCAAACAAAAAATAAGTCACAATAACATCGTTTTAACGTTAAAATAAATTATTTATAATTAAAAATAATTGAAAATTATTATTAATTGTAAAGTATCAATATTTAATTTAAAAATCATTAATAAATAAAAATAATTGATATTTGAAAATCATCAATAATTGAAGTGACTTTTCGTAGACGTATTTTTGGAGTTATTTTGATATCATTTTAATGTTATGATGGCTTTATGTTTTGTTTGGGAAAATACACGATTGTTGATGAACGATCGCAAAGAATGAAAAAGCAAGAAACAGAAAGCAAAGGGCACTTGTAGGCTTAAATGCCAGAAGGTGACTTTTTTCGCGTTTCGTGAGGCGGGAGCAGGAAAGTCCACTTTCCGTTAGGCTTTCCAATCGGTGATTTAACCTTCTTGACGTCACTGTATTTGTAATTTCAGTGTAACTGTTACTTCTGTAATGTTAAATAAAAAAATCTATAATGTACTATATATACTTAATTTTCTTACAGGATGCATGTCCTCGATTCGATTCGTTAAACGTCGCACATTTATACCGAGAATTTATTTTGCGTCAGCGAACGTTGACTTTATATTTTTTTTAAAGTAAAAATATATTCTGTCGCAATATCCTTATGAACACAAATGTCACGTGTGCAATCTTTCAGAAGATGAAGAAGTACTTCAATGTAATCGGCCTGCAATAAATATTGTGAACCATAATTATTTGTTTTTTTTAGCGTTAAAGTTTAAACTACTTCAACGTAGGGAATAAAAGTTTCAGGACTCAGTTCGTATCAATTTCTCAATTTCGTTGCAATTTCTGTCTGTTTGAGTTCTATTTTTTTTTATAAATGAAAGTATTAAATTATGAAATATCATACATTTCTCAAGCAGAACAAGTCATTATAATATCAAAATGATGTCAAAATAATCATTAAAAGTCATTTTTCAATCATTTCCGATTCATTTTAATGTCATTTTGACGTTATTGTGACTTGTTGTTTTGCTTGGGTTATTTCCTAGATTTTAAAATATTTTCGTATTATTTTTATAATTTTATTATAAGTTTTTTTTTATCCATGCTGAATTTATTGAAGCTTGTATATATATATATATCCTAGATTTTAAAATAAATAGTTTTGTATTATTTTTTCAATTTTACTACAGGTTTTTCTCATAAAATTGCACATAGTGTCTGAGCGTGAAAAAAAATATTTGTGATATTTTTTTTTCTTTATTCATGCAGATGAGTTTAATTGAATTAAAATTGAAAATCAAAACAAATTATATACTTGAATATTTTCCTCATTTTAGAATAATTTTTTAAATTTAAATTTAAAAAATTCAAATTAAAACTTATATTAATTTGAAATTTCAGTCTTAAAAAATTTCGAATTGTTAAAATATCATTAAAAGTTTAAAATGTAAAGCTCGTAATTCGCTTTTACTCTTGCTTTATCATAGAGAGAGAAAAAAAATTCACCACGGAAATCACTGTATCCGTAGTTACACTGATAAATAAAGAATCGTAAAATTGCGTAAAATTAGATCACGTTTTTATGGATCATAAAAACTGAACACGTATGCGCAGATTTATCATGGTCAGCAAGAAGGAGACAAAGAACTAGCCGAAGTCAGAAAAAGTAAAAGTAATTATATTTTTCTCCATTATATTTTTATCCATTGTAATTTAATTTCAATTCACAAACTTCTAGATAGATCTCGAAGTCCGTATTTTGAACTCGGTTTAATTTACTCTTTTTCTCCACACAGCACATTTTATCCTAGGAATGCCCAACGGATATCATTTTGGAATATCGCGATAATCTTGTGATATCTGTGGATGGTCTCAGTTATCCAACGGATATCCTCGGGATATACAAGTGTCCGCATGTGTGAGGTCCCACGGACGTCTTAGACATCCGTAAGATATCCAAGGAACTCCATGAGATATCACAAGTATATATGCGTGTGTGCATATATACATATATGTGATTGTTATCTAAAATGAATGTTTTAGGATTTCATATTAGCGAGAAATACATTGTTGTCCTATTATTACATATTGAAATAAAAGATTAATTTGAAATAATACAGAGTGAGTCACTTAAGTATTAAGGTAGAGATATCAAAAAACTAATAGTTTACAAAATATTTTATATTTTATTCTGGCATTTATGCAGAATAATTAGAGGAATCATATTACATAAAAAATTATATAATTCCATTAAAAAAAAGGAGGTGACCTTCATATCTTTTTGACGCCTCCACTTAGAAGAAAAACAACATGACCAAAATACATCCCCCTTAAAGCGTTCCACTTTCATCTGAAACATTTTTTCCTATCTCCAAAACTGTGGGTGTTATTCGGCCGGTCTTAAGTGACTCACTCTATACTATATATATGTCACATCTTGTAATTTATATATTCTTAGGCTTATTTATTATTCTTAATTTATTATTCTTAGGCCCTGCGCACAATGGAGGAAATATTAGGAACAGGGGAATAGATATTAAGATTTCAACCTATCAAAAACCGTGTATTCTGGTGTAACTGGTATCTGATAGGTTAAAATATCTTAATATCTATTCCTGTTCCTAATATTTCCTCTATTGTGCGCAGGGCCTTAGGCTGCGTTCAGAAATATTACCCGATTGCCTTAGTGTATCGTTTTGTCGTTGTTGTTCATCCAATGTTAAACAAGGATAGGATGTTACATGGGGGCATCCAAGTAATGTTTTCGAATACAGCCTTAGTATAACATTCAGTATAATAAAAATCTTTGTAAGCTTCATACAAAATATATCTTAATTGGCACGCAGTACGTCATATTGTTTGTGTCCAAAATAACTATGACATTCTTTACTTCTAATCTTTTATAGTTCTGATACTCTCCAATTGCAATTATTGCAAATCTTTGCTGTACTCTGGGCATCCTAGGATATTTCTTGGAGAACTGTATTGTGTGGTGGAGGGATTTGAATATGATAGGTATCATAAAATATCTTATTAATATCTTAAGATATTAATAGAATATCCTATGATATCTTATGATGTTTTATGATATTTTTTTTGGATATTCTGGATGGGATATCCGTGGGATCGCTTTGTTAATATAGGACAATTTGGGATATCCTCAGGATAAAGTGTGGGTTATCTTTATTTGATTCTTTACTAAACTCAAATTATAAAAAAAGAATAAAAAGTATAAGTTAAACTTTTAAAATTAATCTACAATTAAATTTAATCTATATTGCTAAAAATAACATAATAAGTCATAAAAGAATAATTTCTTTTTTGTTGGCAATAATCCATATGAGTGACGAATCTGGAGTGCCTTCTGCTTGCACTCTCTGCACTACCTACACCGAAGCGAGACAGATAACGTTTAACATGAGAATAAGCGAGAGATCCAAGAAAGTGCAGAAAATGCAAGTCGTGCAAGAGCAAGACGGACGCCCTATTCCGTCCTGGGTACCTATTATGGAACAAAGTCGGAATGGATTCCGATCGAAATTATTCAATTATTCCCTAGATTTCTGTTGTGTTTTCTGGAGAAAACGGAATAATTCCGATCGAAATCCATTCCGATTTTGTTCCATGATAGGTATCCAGTGATGCCATGGGTGCATTCAGTACTACAACTGATCACTGAGCGCTCAGTGAGCTCTTGTATCTGTTTGGTCTATATTTTTAGTTCTAACGGAATATGCCAATCGGATGCAAGAGCTCAAGGCCATTACACGTACAAAATTTTAGTCGGAATCGTAAGGTCGCAAGCAAATCGACCAATCACAATCAAAATTAAGATCTCGCGTTTTTAAACGCTCGACTGTGATTGGCCGATTTGCTTACAGCCTTATGATTACGACTAAAATGTTTGTACGTGTGATGGCCTTCACTGAGCGCTCAGTGAGCGGTTGTAGTACTGAATGTGCTTATTGTGATGATTTGTGCGCGAGGTTAGGTTAACGTTAATTAACGTGTCGCACCGACTTCGTCATCGGCATCCTCGACAATCGATGACTCGCGTCACGCGGCTTTCGTAAGGATGCTCAACTTTCTGAGGACTCGCACCGTCTGGATGCAGAATGCACGTATCGTGTCAGCCCGACCGGTCACCCAAAGCCGGGCGCGACTATGTTCGTTCTGCAACTTCCATCATCTGAGTCCACCTCGTGGTACGTAAACACGTGTCTGAGATCTCTTATTTATGAATGATTGTGAGTAACACGCTGTCGTTTTGCGAGTTCTTCCTCACCTCCTTGCAATTTTTATCTCTAAATTTTTATTTTTCTGATCATTCAGTCATAATGAAAAAATTATGCGCTTCATGGTCACTATTCTGATTTGTTTTCCACGTTAATTATCATAAAGCAACAATGTCATGCATTATCGGTAACTCCAACCAATTCTTCTTTAGTTATTGCTGTATACATATATATTTGTAGCTTACACTATTTTATATGTGGTAGATTAGTGTAGATGGACTTTTCAAGGTAGTGGAAGATTACAGAAAGATTGAATGAGACTGAATCCTATATTCTTATATCTAAACCTTACAATAACTATTTGTACACTTTCAGTAGTGAGATGTACAGTGATTCGATGTTATGCAACAACCGATACAGTGAAACTACGTACTCTCTTGCAAAAGAAAGCCAAACGTCGCTCGAAGAAATATGCAGAGTTATTAGAAGGTATGTACAGCAATATAACATAAAAACATGTATCTAATACAAAGAGTAACATGTATTAATATGAGCAGTTAATCTTGATGACACACATTAAAGTAAAAAGTACAACATCTAAGGTTTGTTCGCGTCGCAAGCTCCAACATGCTCCTTCATGTTCCTACCATAGCTTCTACTCACTCTATCAAGCGCATTGGAGTGAGTAAGAGCTATGGTAGGAGCATATTAGAACATGTTGGAGCATGCGACACGAACAAACCTTAAACAATTTCTTTATGAATAACTATATTTTGCTTAATACGAGTGTAAGTATTCTTCCTGACATAACTCCTTTCCATAGTTTTATTAAATCAGAGATACTTTTGCAACAAAGCAACATATTTTCTAACTAAAAATGAGAAAAAATGATGACGTACCTATGTCAGAATTCGTCAATCTGACGATTAGCGAACAATAAATTATTTTTTATTGTTAACATATTAGTAACAGATCAGACGACCAACAACAGGAAAGCAACAGTGAGCAAGTTGAGTTCTGCCCAAATGTCCGCCCTGGTTGATCAGCCTAATATTACACTAGACAAACTGCACAAGATCTCTAATTTTTGTGTTAAGAAGAAGACGACACAAAAGAAGGACACCAATAAAAAGACTGGGCTTGAAAAGAATTTAATTCATATGGTAATTTTATGATGATTCGCCTCTAAGGAGAAGATTGGAATCTGAAAAAATTATGTGATACACATTTCTGCATAATGATTTCAAATATTGATAAAATATAATTTAAATAAATATGAAAAATATAATAAAATATTGATAAAATATATTTTAAATAAATATGATAAATATAATAAAATATTGATAAAATAAATATAATAACAAAAATATAATTTAAATATTATGATATTTAAATTGCAAAAATCAAATTGGCGTATTGATTTTAGGATGACAAAGTAGACGATACACATTACGCCATACCTAAAGAATTTGATGGGCAATTAGATGATACGTCCGCAGTTATGGAGAATCTGAAAGAGTCTGGAGTAAGCGATCAAACTGCGTTGATTAAGGATTCTTCCTTTCTGAATATGCTGCAGGGTGATAAAAACAAAGAGAGGGATAACAATCAAGATGATACACTGTAAGTTATAACATTTATAATTGGAATAATCTATAAGAGGGGAGATTCTTTACTTTAATTATGCACAATTCGTTTTTACAGTATGCAGATTCCAAAATACAAGGCTTCAACTTCATATGCTTCAATTCCTTTTACGAATGAGCCAGAAATTTTGGAGGATTGTCCTTCCGATCACAATCTAATTTCTGAGTTATTAGCGCATATGGATGTTTATATACAAATCGACATGCCGCATAAAGCCTTCAAGTTGCTCACGTCGTATAAAAATCATTTTAAGAAAAACAAAGTCTTCCCCATCGTGCTTTATAATCTGCTCTTAAGGACCCATGTTTCTAATGCACATATGGAAAAGGTATTCGAGATCTACAGAACAATAAAGGAGGATTCTGTCCAGCCGAACTTTGAGACGTACGCTCTCATGTTCGAGATAATTGGAAAGATAAAAAACCAGGTGAAAAGAGCAGGTAAATTAATATGGCTTTTAATAATAAAATGAGAAAAAAGTAGTTCAAATTTAAAAAAGTATTAAGATTCGTAAATATATATAAAAAAAGGTCAAGCAGTTTTTAAAGAACTGTTTAAGATGAAAATTTCACAATTTTAAGGAGATATAATACATGCAAATTTTTTAACAAGATTTTTTATAAGATTAACATCATCGATAATTTTTTTAAGTGAATCCAAAATTTCAAAATGGTTCCAGATTTTTTTAGTTATTCTGTATATAATGATATATCTAATATATATTTTTAAAATAATCTAGATTTTAGGGAAATTAGGTTTCTATAATTTTATGTGATTTATAGAGATTTTATAAATAATGAACTCGATGAAAGTATTTAAAGCGCAAATATTCTCGTAACATTTCTATAATTTGAATGTTACTCTCTTTGCAGAAAGCACAGCTGAAGTGATGGCAGATATGAATCGCAATGGCATCTCCTTCGATAAATTAATGAATACATCGTTAAATGGAAAGCAACGCAACGCCATTCTTCATTGTATGAGATCATTGAATCTTAATTATTGTGTACAGCCTCAACCCAATGATACCTCATACAGCTGCAATTTACTGAAGGATCTGACGACGAATAATAACTGGCAGAGCCCGGCGGAAGGAGTAGTGACCATGAACGAGTTGCAGGATATGACGCGTACGCTGAGCGTCGCGTTGTTCACCGGAGATCCCGAAGTTAGACAGCAAGCTATCAAACGGATCGCGGAATGGGAGAAAACCTGGAAATCGACTGTGACCGAGGCTTTCGAGAAAAATCTGACTTACCTGAAACAGCAGACAAAGATAAAGAACGATTTAAAGATCTTGTATCCATTTCTGCAAGTGTTACCCAAAGAAGAGTATGTCAAGGCAATAATGAACGAAATCAACCAACTTACTAAATTCTCCGAGGGATTCAGTTATACTATGACATATCTTTATCTATCATTAGGACAATATATTTACAAGAGGTACGAGTTTCAGCGAAAGGTAAAAAACGGTGTCTTAGACAATTCTATTCAGATTTACAAGAAATATTTGGAGTGGTATATGAAGAAGGATCCTGCTGACAGGATCAGCAACGCGCGCATCAAATGGCAACAACTCGTCGATGAGGCTCAAAAGTCTGATATGTGTTGCGAGTTAATGGTACCAGAGTGGACGCATAACATTATGCGAAACATAGGCAAATTTCTGTACAATATCATCGTGAACGACGTGAAGATTCCACACGTATCCAAGCCTGGCGCGCCCGAGCGGCAGATACCCGCGTTCTACCTGCTCTTCAGGTTCCACTCCAACAAACGCCTCTTCATGGAAGAGGTCAAACCTCATCCTCAGTTACACAGGTTTTACAAGGACTCGTATTCAGAGACACTGTCTTTTGAGACAATTTTGTTGCCAATGTTCTCTCCGCCACGTCCTTGGGTCAACGTGAACACCGGCGGTTATCTGTTCTCCAAGGCGGAGTTTGTTCGCGATCTTTACAAGAAACCATCACACCTGCTGAGAAATACGCCGACAAAACAACTCCATCCAGTATTCGACTGTTTGAATCAACTTGGTTCGATTCCGTGGAGAATCAATGTGCCCATGCTGGATATCTTGATCCAGATCTTCAGGGATGGGGGCTCAAAAGAGCTGAATGTACCTCAACCATCCACAGTAGTTCCATCTTCAGCGGATGTCATCGCGAGCAAAACGGATAAGAGTCCTAAAGAGATATCGAAGCTGCTGTTTCAACTTAAGCGTACAAAAAACGAGATGCACTCGCTATGGTGCGACTGTCTCTATAAATTATCCCTCGCCACTCACTTCAGGGACAAGGTATTCTGGATGCCGCATAATCTGGACTTTAGAGGCAGGGCGTACCCAGTGCCGCCTCATCTGACCCATCTCACTTCGGACCTAGGCCGTTCTATTCTTATGTTCGCTCAGGGTAAGCCTTTGGGTCCTGATGGTTTGGATTGGCTGAAGATTCATGCAATAAACATGTCCGGTTTAAAGAAGAGAGAACCGATGCACAAACGGTTAGAGTTCGCGAATGAGATATTGGACCTGATTGTGGACAGCGCGAGGAATCCCCTGACGGGAAAGATGTGGTGGACCAAGACTGACGAACCATGGCAAACGTTGGCGGCATGCAAAGAGATAGATAACGCTCTGCAATTCCCAAACGTGGAGAAGTACATTTGCCGGCTTCCCATTCATCAAGACGGTAGTTGCAATGGCTTGCAGCATTACGCTGCGCTCGGGAGAGATCTGATAGGAGCGAAGAGCGTGAACTTGTATCCTTCGGACAAGCCACAGGACGTGTACAGTGTCGTCGCTAGTATGGTCGATGAGTACAGGAAGATCGACGCGGATGCTGGCGATGAAATAGCCCAGGCCTTGGAAGGACACGTCAGTAGGAAGGTCATGAAACAGACTGTAATGACCACAGTGTATGGCGTGACGAAGTTTGGCGCCAGGCTACAGATCGCCAGGCAGCTCAGCGATTTGAAGGATTTCAATCAGACGTATGTTTGGACCGGCAGCATGTACCTGGTTCAAAAGACATTCATGTCTCTTCAGACTATGTTTAAGAGCGCAAAGGAGATACAGAACTGGTTCACGGATTGCGCCCGCACTATCGCGATCAGGCACAATGAGTATGTGCAGTGGGAGACGCCGTTGGGCTTTCCGGTCATGCAACCCTACTTCAAGTTTAACCCTTATAACTTGAAAATCAAGGTTTCCAAGTGAGAACGCTAACTACACATTTCATCGCATGTTTACGTATTTCTTATATTTGTATTTGTCTCTTCTGTATATACACTCCAGGTCAAAAGTTTGGAAACTTTTTTATAAGATTGACATTCTTGGGATTATTTATTCAAATATTTATAATAACGTATTTTTAACAATAATTTCATAAATATAAAGTAACAATTATTGGATTTGAAAATTTATTGTAAAAAAACATTGCTTTGGATATTTAAGTAATTCCAAAAATAATTTTAAAAAAATATTTTCAAACTTTTGGACCGAACAAAATTTAGAAAACGTGAGAATTTTTATTTCTAAATTATATCAATTCTCAAAGATTTATGGAATTATTCCGTATATCTCTCGTATTTCCTTTTATATTGTACATATAATGGATGTCGTTATATAAATTATTTACATAATTATGTAGATTATATAGATTACTACATAAGTAAAATTTACGTAATACAAATATCATTTACAGGAAGCTGGACACAGTGAAGCAAAAGAATGCCTTCGCGCCGAATTTCATCCACTCGTTGGATTCCTCCCACATGATGTTGACGAGTTTGTACTGCGAACAGGCGGGGATCACATTTATGTCAGTGCACGATTGTTTTTGGACGCACCCGTGCACGGTGGATGTTATGAATAGAGTAAGAATTACAAAGACATATAACAACACTTTCAGACAAAGCCATATAACAACACTTTCAGACAAAGCCATAATGCGCAACGTCTTATTTTTCAGATTTGCCGGGAACAATTCATCGCGCTTCACAGCGAGCCCATTCTCGAGAATTTGTCCGAATTCTTTTGTAAGAAATATGAAACGCACATTGCGAGCAATAAGCGGTGAGTTCGTTGCAATTTCTTAAGGTTTTGAATAATAAAAAATTTGTAGATCTCAGGAATCTAAAAGTGCGAATTGTAAAATAAGAGGCAAAAAGAAATAATAGATGTGTTTTATATTAAGAGTGTCTGATTAAAATTTCAGGAATAAGAAACGGAAAAGCGAAGATGTTTCGCTACAGGTCTTCCAAGAGATACCGAAGAAAGGTACCTTCGACATCAACACAATCATGTCGTCTCGATATTTCTTTCATTGAAATGTAATTGTATTTATTATGAGAAAACGTATCGTTTAAATGTGTACGAATGTAAATCACTGTAAAGTTTTAACACATGAATTAGCTTCGATATGCGTTGTGCAAACTGTAAGTTATATAAGATAATTTCTAGAACGATATGTAAATAGATTAATAGGACAATAAATTTTTAAAGCCTTAAATATAATTGGTATATAAATTATTTATATATAAATATCTCTTTCCTGTGTTTTATACTTACTCTATGTTTTATACTCGACTCGAGATACTCGATAAAATCAAAGGGGTTCAATAGTCGATACTTATAATCTAATCTTGTGTATAAGATCGTTTTAAGCACAATTTTTAGAAACTATACGATCGTTTCATTAGTTAAATAGAATTTTGATATCAGATTTAACACCATTTTAAACATAAGATTATAAATATCGTTCAGATTATGAATCTACGTCTCGTTCAAAGACATCTTAAAACACTTAGATCTGATTTAAGATGACTTCAAATATAAGATCGGACAATGAATACTGTTCTTAAGTTTAATCTTAGATAATCTCAGAATCTTAAGATTCTAAATGATCTTAAAACCATATACTTAAGTTATACTTAAGACAATCTTATAATTAAATATAAGATCGGACTTTCATGTCTTAAAAAATTTAATCTCACAGATCTTAGAATCTTAAGATCTTGAATGATCCTAAGATCGGACTTAAGATGACTTATAATTAAATATAAAATCGGGTTATGACATCCTTAGATGATCCTAAGATTTCTATCCGGCCCATGAAATGATTTGTACAGCTACTCGGAGTCTTGAATATAGATAAGATTATATCATTTTAAATATCGCCCGGTGAATCAACCAAGTAAATACGACTAGGGCTGCGTTTCATTATTCACTGTCAGTACTGGCAGCATTGCACATGCCATTCCAAAATATATCGTAGTAAACTTCCAATATACTTTTGCGTTTATATGACGTCATAAATTTTTGCGTCACTTCCTATTTCTATTACTGCGACTGGCGAGGTCAGGTAATCGCAGTAAAAAGATGGCGAAATTCAACGAAATGGAAAATCAGGAAAAAATTTGTTTTTTTAGATGTCGAAACGAATAATGTCAAAAAGTTATGACATATTAATATGATATATTAATGAATAAAGTAGATGCAGAAAAAGCACGCAAAGATATGAATATAATTAATAATTCCAAATTTTATCAAAATTTAAAAAATTATTTATTCCTACCAAGTACTACTAAATCCATTTCGTTATGCAACGTTGTAACGTCATAAAAGTACTATTAGTAATTTCAAAACGCTTCTGCAGTACTACTTTATGACGTCATATTGTTAGTACTGACAGTGAATAACGAAACGCAGTCTAGATATGCGTAACCAGCGGTTGCCATAGCAATGGCGTCGTCAACAAATAATATAACCTATCTATCTCGTTTTCGCTCGTCGGTTTGTGTTATCGCTTCAACAGCATTGTAATATACATCAGTAGAATGTAAACGAAAAATCGTCTTGTGGATAAATTGGAGTCATTGCATTCACGATGTATAAAGACGAATGGGGAAACCCCGCCAACGGCGGATTTTCGAATATTGCTCGACGATGTAAACCGCGGTGCTTTTTTCCAGTCAAGCGATGTGAAGGTAGGCACAGAATATATCACGTACTGAAAAATATATAATAATGAATAAATAAATACATATAAAATAGAACGCGTTGTACATAATAAATAGAACGTGAATAAAATACAAATATGTAGAATATGAGAATGACAAAACGAATAATTTATTAAAATTATTAATAAATAAAATAATTTTTTAACTTATTTTTAATTTTCTCTCTCCTTTAATCTATTTTTACTCATCTATCCATTTAAGTTTTCAAAATTTTGAGAAATCTAAAAATTTTATTATGCCTTAAACAGGCTCAGAAAAATAAGGAGAATATCTTGTTTAGATTTATCTTGTCTTTTTAATTTTTGAATTAATTGAATCTTTCATTAATTAGTTGAATCTGAAATATTGTCTTTATATATGATTCAGGACTCATATTTTATTTCAAAATAGATTAGAGAATTCAAGTATAGACTGGATATAAAGACAGAGACAAGAATGGATGAAGTAGAGCATGTAGCTCTGATTGAGTGGTACTGCCGACAGCATTATTATAATGGCATGCTGACTCAAGTCAAGCAGGCACGTGATGCTTACCCGAACAGCGAGCGTCTGAAGCTGCTATTCTGTCTGGCGAACATTCTTATTGGTAAGAATCACGAGGCTATCAAGGAGAGCTCCAGCTTGCTGAACTATGCGGATGTCACACTGCCAGCATTGCTCGTGCAAAGCGTTGCCCTGGTTGACGGCGAAGTAGAGAGGAGCACCATGACTCAGATAGAGAACAGGATCCGAGATGAGCGCAGAAAAGCATCCTGTATTTCGTTATGCCTTGCAGCATCCGTGTTGCTTCTCTCTCGTCGAGCGGACAAGGCGAAGGAGTATGTAGACAGAGCAAGCAAAATGAAGTCCACGAATATCAATGTGTTACTTATCAAGGGATGGCAGCAGCTCAGTTTGAGATCGGGCGCAGATGTTCAAGAGGCGGGAAACGCCTTTGATTCCGTCTTGAAGGAAGAGCCGAGGAACCTAGGCGCATTATTAGGCTCCGCGGAGACGAAACGATGCATCGGGGACTATCCAGGTGCCGTCTTGATTCTGAACTCCTTGATCGTGCGCTATCCCAAGCTACCGCTTCCGTTGATAGAAAAAATGAAGTGCCTACTGGCAGCGAAGGATTGGGAACAGGTGCTGGAGATGGTAAACCGCGTGCTCACGATCGAGTCGAACAACTTGGACGGTATCAAGGCGAGCTCGATGGTGGCTTTGTGCAGAGACGGTAATCCAAGCGAGGGTTTACCGCAGTTGCAGTTGTTTTTGCGTAACCTGCTGCTTACTGAACCGAAGAACACGGTCTTGCTGATTGAGAACTTGCGACTGTTCTCTGGTATTGCATTCCAAGACCATGGGATCCTGTTAGAATTGGCACGGACGGCCGAGAAGATGCTGCAAGCGACATCGTCGAGCAGCGCAGAACTGATGGCAGAGCTGGGTGACTTGTATGCCGCGCTAGGCAATGTCAAGGACGCCGAGCGTTGGTACAAGAACACCATCCGCGCTGATCCATCCTCTTTCGTGGCGCTCTTGGGACTGGCACACTGTCAGTTGCTGCAGGGATCTGCGGAGGACCTGGACCAGGCACGGCAACAGGTGAATGAATGGTTGCGATTAGCAGAAAAAATAGCTTTGCAACTGTTGTAAAATTCTTTAATATGATTGATCTTGTCCCTTTCTAGATCTAAAAATAAATGGCAAATCATATTATAGAATTTTACAATTGCAAAACTCCTTTTTCTGCACAATTCTGAACAAATATATATAGGGTGTTTCATTTTAAGTGATATGGTCGATTATCTCGCGAATCGATGATTTTATTGAAAAATTTTTCGAACGAAAGTTGCATGGTTTGAAGGGGAACACATGATGGAAATGTGGACTTGAGTGACCTTGTCAAAATCAGGTCAAGGTCATTAATGTTTTTTTTTTAAATAGAAATCCCTATTTTTTATTACATATTCTTGTAGCTTATCTTAAGAGCTTTCCAAAACAATATAATATAAAGTTACTTTCCGAGTTATGGAGCTTGAAAATTACAGTACCGGCGTTATCCATGTATCTCATCAGTTAATTGACCGGACCAGTGATCGGTCTTGCCTTATAACTTAACAAGTACTTAATGAAAAGTAACTTTATTATAGTGTTTTGGAAAGCTCTCGAGATAAGCTACAAGAATATGTAATAAAAAATAGGGGTTTCCATTTAAAAAAACATTAATGACCTTGACCTAATTTTGACAAGGTCACTCAAGGTCAATTCTACATTTCCATCATGTGTCTCCCTTCAAGCCATGCAACTTTCGTTCGAAAAATTTTTCAATACAATCATTGATTCGCGAGATAATCGACCATATCACTTAAAATGAAACATCCTGTATATACTATTCTCTTTTAAAGAATAATCTCTAGACATATCAGTGAAGTGATTGATTGAGCAGATATTACAGAAGTTTATCTTACATATCACATTCCAGGTGGAGATCATGATGGAGATACAACCGAACTCGACAAATGTCCAGTTACTGTTTATGTCCGCAAAGATCACTTCCAAAGAAAACAGCATTAAGGCACTCGGTCACTTGGACACGGCGGCAAATATCTTGTTGAAGAACTGCGAGGGCTTTCCCTATGGTTACGAGTATCTTAGCGAGCTTAAACCAGGGTTATGCCTTGAAATTGCGAAACAACGTTTGATGCATTCTTTGAATAAGTCCCCAATGAGCGACGAGGTAGCTATCTTTCTTAAGGAAGTCGATAAAAGTGAATACATTTTAGTTTTTATTTATTATTTAATTATGACGTTGGAAGCAAAAAATTGTATCATTCTGTCCTGCTTTTTAAGTTGGGTAGCGCAGTGGAGAAGGAACCGAGTATCCGCTTATTGGAACGACTAGTGGAAGCCTGTTCGGGTTCCAGTGTAGCTACATTATTGCTCAGCAAGGCCAGAATGCAAAGTGGCGACTACGAGGGTGCACTGATCTTGCTCAGGAGATTACTGGATACGGTAGAGCCATCCAATGCACAAGCCCATCTCTTAATGGCTCAGATTCTGGCATATCAGGGCAAGTACCAGCTTGCTTCGCAGAACTTGGAGGTTGGTCTAAGCTACAACTTCAAGATCCGAGACGAGCCAGTCTATCATTTAATCATCGGTATGGTGCAACGAGAGGCTGGTGATCTGCAGAATTGCGTTAAGAGCTGTCAGACAGCCATGTCGCTGGCAGGCTTGACTGGTAGCGCCAATAGAAAATCCGATATGTCTACGTCAGACCGAGCAACGTTGTATTTAGAGTTGATTACGGCGTATAGCAAGGCAAGACGTTTCGCTGAAGCACTGGCGCTTATCGACGAGGCGAAAACAAATCTTGCCGGCACCACTGAACTTGGAAGAATTACCATCGGCACTGCTGAGGTCTATCTAGACATTGGAGAACTGGAGAACGCTATCAGCTGCTTGTGGAACATTCAT